TAAAAGGCTCTCTAATCATCGGTGCCGCATGCTTAGGTAAGATTGCTTGGGTTGGTAAAGCTTGGTGTTCATGCTGCAAAACCACTGGAGTTCAAGTACAGGCGTAAACTGCTAACCCAGAAGGGAAGGGAGAACTGACAGCCTAATCTCACTATGTAAGTATCATTCCGTGTGGTCCTCAGATCCTCAAAAGAAGAGCAGCTGCATTAAGATAGGGATGCAAAACAGTTTTGCAGCTAATACTCTCACAACCTTCTTCAGTGAAATACTACATATTATCTCTTTCTTTCCTCTAAAGGAAAAACCTACCATCTTGATTAACTTGTTTCAAATCATAAAGGGTGTGGGAGGGGAGTGCACACACAGAAAAGCAGACTGGATTTTTCTATATCAAATTATTAAAATTAATGAGCAGCAGCAGGCAATTAAATGCAGGCTTTTGCATGACAGGTGAGCTTGAGCAAGCTATTGGTTCAGATTTTGCCTTAGGGTGGAATCTGAGGGGTGGATAAGGAATCCTGATGAATTAATTTATAGTAGCTAGAAGCAAAATGTTAAGTCAGTTCATGACTCATTCTTTTCTGCACTTTTTTCTCTAAAACTAAGGTCTTAGTTAGGCCTGCATTCTGTGTCCTTACCAATTTTTTTTATTAATTATCTATATTTGGATATTTAATATCTATGCAAAACCTGGGGGATTCCTGAGAGGTATTTTCAAGTATGAAAGCTCTTGATTGCTATTTACATCCGGGCAGCAGGGGTAAACGGATAGGTAGGAACTTTTTAATAGCTGGATCAAGCCCCTGGGAGACTTTCCTATCCAAGGCCGAGGTTACTTGTTCAAATTGCAGACAAATGTTTACTGGCCCAGAGACCTTGACAAAACCTTTCTTTTACCAAAGAATAACTTAAGTCTTGCCTAGGACCAAGCAATAATTCAGCTGAAGTAGTTCACTTTCAAAATTCTTCTACTGTTCTTCTACTGTAGCTCTTAAGACTAATTTAAACATCAGTATTTATGATCCTATAATTGACTGAAGTGGTAGTTTTTAGCTGTTAAATATTTATGCAGAATTTGAGTACAGCTGTTTTCATTCTGAAAATACTGTCTTGCTGCACAAGAACAAACTACTACAAAAGGTTTATATGAAACATACTTGAAAGCTAGAACCAGGCTACAGCACTGCAACTATTTCCTGTGTATCTTGCTACCATAGTAACCTGAAGGTTTTTTTGAAAAGCTGCATAAAACCAAAATAATTTACCTAGCTGTATCTATCTTAATAAACTGGCTCCCCAAGACTATAAACCGGATGAAACGGAAATGATTTGAGCTGCACATGAAGAAAATGTGAGATTTGGAAGGGTTGTGCTAATGTTGATTGATACAGATTTAGAAAGATATAGTCATATATAACTTGTCTTCTAAAAAGCAATATATTCTACAGAATACCAGTATAACTAACCAGTATAATGAATGAATACCATCCATACAGAGTGCCAGACTATGGCATTCTTTCTTCATTCCCATAATGGGCCATCCGTTACTTCCTGACACTAGGTTTATTTGCATGAAATGGATTAAAACAGTTACCATTGTCTCTCTCCTTGCCTTGAGAGCCAGCCAGTTGTTTGATTTTACCATAATCATTAAACTTTATTTTAACAGACGTGGGATAGCAGCTGAACGGCTGTTTGTTGGATACTGCACTCATGAAGCAAGAGGGCAGTAACTGCTGCAAGGATTTCTACCAAACAACCTCAAGTGCCTCTGAGGTGGGACTGTGTGGTTGAAAATTTTAGATCTGTGAAATATTAAATTTTAAAAATAAAATTACGTTAATTTGACAAATTCCTGTTGGAATAATTTTTTTTTTCAAAATTTCAGGTGATCTTAATTGTATGTTAAGCTTTCACTAGAAATAGAGGTTCTTGACTGTGAAATCTTGAAACTTGCTACCCATCCAGTCAGTTATCCATTCCCATTTCCCCACCTCTTCAAAAAAGCAGCAAAATGCAGTGGCAGCTCTGGTTCAGCTGCTATCATCAGTCAGCTGTGCCCACTCGCACTTCTCCTTGTCTCAGGCACAGTCCCTTGCTAAGTCAGAAGCACAGTCTGCTCCTCTAGTGTTACTTTCTCATTTACCAGAGCCAGGTGGTCACAGAACAGACCAGTGCAGCTAAACAGTTTGCTGAAAATATTTAATAGGAAGGACAGAACCTTTTCTTTGTATGAAGTGATCATACCAGCCCTCTCGTCCTCTGGAGAAGCACTCTTTGCTCATGGCTGTTCAGGGCTTGATAGCTGGCCAGCTCCAAAGTGAAGGTTGCTGAGCCGGATGTTAGGGAACGCAGAACCGTTGAGTAGCCCTGGACAAAATACAGAACATGTATGAAAATACTGACTAGCTACAGTCAATTTAGGATACAGGAAAGATTAGTAAGCACAAAAAGCTGTTTAGTCGGAGAGAGCAAGTATACTGCAACACTCTGATAAGTTTTTTCCCTTTTCTGCCATTTACAAGATAAGCACCTACCATTGTTTCTGCTAGAGGAATAGCAGCAACTACAACTCTGTTATCTTGACGACTCTGGATTTCCTGAATGCTGCCTCTCCGCTGCGCGAGGTCAGCAAGGGCTGCGCTGAGATGATCTTCACTCACGGTGATTTCTAGGTTCATCAGAGGCTCCAGTATTTGTATGCTGGCTTTTTTCAAAGCCTATGTGAAAGAGAGGAAAGGAGTCCGTCTGACTCCTTTTTAGGAACAAATACACAAAGGAAACACATACTTAACATAACACTCCTCCCAAATTCTCCGCTCCCAAGTTAAGGTCCCCAGCAAGAGCATTGGGCTCTCCAAAAAGAGCCATTGGCAGGTACGATACATGCCTGGTTTTCTAGGAGTACCTCATGGCCCCGAGCTTTAGGAGAGTCCCCAGTTTTGTGATACCTTTTGCATACAACGGGAAACACAAGCTGATATCATTGTATGGGAGGTGTCAGGATGCACTGTCAGTGACTGCACGGTCACTTCTATATCCTGAACTGGGAATCCCAGCAAGGGTCCTAAAAAGAAAAAAATAAGTAATTGTTTTTCATAATATGAAGACACGGAAAAAAAAAAACAGTTTCAGGATTCATTTGTAGCTCCCGACTTTCTTCTTTACCTTCTCATTTGACCTCCCTCTCTACAAGGGCACGACCATTTCTCTCCTTGCTTACTTCTATAATTTATCATCTAACTTTGCTACAAGAGACAAGGGAATGCAGAGCCATATGTTTGTACTTTCAAAAACATAGCTAATGATTTTCAGCACCAACATTCCTGACTTCATTCACCCTTAACCCTGTTCCTAAAAACAAAACCTTACAAAAGAAAAAAGAAATTATACTGGGACTGTGAAGAAGGCTCATAGGCAAGCTTTGAGGAGCAGAGACTCATTCCATAGCTAGAGAGGAGAGATGCTTTCCAGTTGAACAAAGCAACAGTTATTTGGCCGCAAGTTAGTTAATATATATATTATTATAAGAAGTAAATATATATATATATTTACTTGTGGCCAAATATATATTAAACATATATATATTTAATAAATATAAAATATTTTAAAAATAATTAAAAGATGATCATAAGATATATATATATATTTAAATAAATAGATTTTAAATTGAAAGTACAGTTTAGTCCTAAACAGTCTAAATTTTACAATTATGGTGGAAATATGGAACAAATTTGAAAATTGGAAAAAACATCCGTAACTAATAGAAGTGTGATATTTACAAGCTGGCCTTCTAAGCCAGTTCCACAGCATCACTCTGATTTACTGGACAGCATAAAGTGAAGATCTTCTCTGTTACACCGGAATTATAAAGAAAAAAAAAACCAACAAGAAACAGCAAAACCAAGAGTGCTGCTGGGTTAGAGTCAAGCTGAAAGTATGCTGCCTTCCATTACCAGCACAGGAAAAGGGCTGTTCTGCAATTTTTGTAGCTAAGGAAATTCTGTATTTTTATTCGGGTCTGTGATATTAAAAGGTAACGTCTTTTAGTTTGCAAGTTACCCGGGAATGTTTCCTTCGAGAAAGCTGTTAAATGACTTCCTACAGAGAAGTTAGGAAAAGGCAGCTGTAGCCCATCTGCTACCTTGGATGCAGGAATTAGCGATGCCGTTTTCCACTGTGCCTTGCAGGGCCATGAGGAGCAGCTCAGCAACGTCTGCCGCGAACTTGATGACTGGGGCCCCTGCCACTTGCTCCCCCGCGCGCCCCGGCCTCTGCTCCAGCTCCACGCTCACGCAGTGCCGCTTATCTCCGACTGTTTTGTCCAAAGTATCTATGGGAAAAAAGCAAGATTCTGAAAAAAGAAAAAAGCTACTGCACCAAATGATTAATCTGAAAGCTGCTCAAAGTAATTAAGAATAATAATTAAGCATAAAGATCGTTTCAAATAAAGCAGACTGCAAAGCCAGAACAAAATATTCCTTCTATTCAGTCATTCTACCTGCAGCCTGGGCAGCATTTAGGATGGTTTCTCTGTATGCTATTTGAAGAGGTCCCAAATAAGTGTCAATTCCATATTCCCGTTTGATTCGGTCATGAATAATCTCTATGTGTAGCTCTCCCATGCCGCACAGAACAGTCTAGTGAGAACAGAGAGGTGGGACATACAAAGCTCAGTTTTAATGCAGACTGTTTAAGTAATGATGACTTGCAGGTTTTCCATAGCCTCTAGAAAAGATTCCAAAATTCTAAGAAGCTTCTTCACAGATACGAAAACAGATGTGATTGATATAAATCTCCTGACTCAAACCTGTGTATAGGAGATGGTGATTATTGCTACTATACCCACTACAGAAAAGGATGTATACTATCAGCTTCAGTATTACACCTTTCACACTTTCCTAAATTCAAAAAAGATTGTCAAAAACATTCACTGCAGAATACAGGAGATTATTATCTTATGCTCTGCATAAGTGCCCAAGGCATCACTTCAGTTTGTTCTGATGCAAAGAATTCTGTACATTTTTAGACCCTTTTTAATTCAAAAAAAATCTCAATATTACATGAAGCAACTGAAGGGTGCTTCATGCCCCCAAAAGGGCATTTAATTATAAGGTAAGAATAGAAGATTTAACTTACTTGTCCTGTGTCAGGATCCAGCTTCACTTTTAAGCTTGGATCTTCACGTTGAAGGCAGTTCAGCGCGTTATCCAAGTCTACATAAACACCAAACACAGTCACAGTTACATTCTGGAATACATCATTCCTGTGCCAGACACCCCAAGGGCCTTTCCAGATCCCCGTCACACAAACGTGCACAGGGCGCAGGCAGCAGCGAGGCGCACGGCTCCGGGCGCAGCGCCGGCCCAGGCTCTACCTTGCTGCTTGGCCGCGGAGGGCGGCTCGATGGTGCAGAAGAAGACGGGCTCGGGGACGTCGACGCCGGCCAGCAGAAGGCTCCCCGCTTCCCTCCCGGCCCGGCGCGCTGCCGCCTCGGCCGAGGCCTTCGAGGACACTATGGTATCTCCAGTGGCGCTCTGTACATCCAGCCCGGCGACCACAGAGCGGGAAAGGAGGGAAAAAAAGCAACTGATGTTACTCCTTCCTCAGTACTGGTTGTCCTGAATTCCCCTTACTTGTAAATAGGTACTTCAACTTCTCCCTTTGAATACTTAAAATGATTCTGAAGAGGAGGAAAAAAATTTGCCCAACTTTAGACTACTTTTCTTCATCAAGCTCATCACATTTTAAATCTACCTCATCACTCGCAATATAAAGGCAGTAGTGGCACTCACAAAAGGCAGTACTGGCAAAGGAAAAGTTGCCTCTGCATTTCAAAATCGGTTACAGTTAAGAACTATGCAAATTCTATTTTATTCTGTTCAAACATGGAAACACAGGATTAGTAAAGTATCCAATAGACCCATGAAACTGCAACATGTTTACTGTTCATTTGGGGTAGCATAGTTGCAGCATCACCCTCCTTGCCACGTGAGGTCTCCCCATGGCATTATGTTGCACTGGTATTGTAAGAGTTTCAGCGTGAACAGAAGATTGGAACCCTGCTAGAACTGTTTGAATTTTCAGCCCTTCCCGCCTAACCTCCCCATCTCCCTAGGTAAATCACTGACACTGGCACATTGTAATTTTTCATTCTTGGAGAAGTACTCCAAATAAAGTCTACATATGTGGGAACAGTCAACACAAAAAAGCACCCACACTCGAGACAAAATATCATAGAAGTGGAAAGTACAGTACAGAAACAAGCTTCATGGTCCTGAGCAAGCTGATCTAGCGGAACCTGCATGACCAGTGAAAACAGACCAGAGGATCTCCAGAGGCCTCTTCCAACGCCAACAATAGTCTGAGATACCTTCTAGGATCATTTTTTCCCTTTACCTGTTTTAACCCAACTGTAAGGGCAATGTTGCCAGCCATGAGAGAGGGTATTTCAACTTGCTGATCAGCAAAAGGCAGGAGCAGCCGGCTCATTCGCTCTCTGCAAATGAAATTCTTGAATTACTCATTACTTCAGTAGACACTCCAAGGCTGCAATAAACTATACCCGCCTCCTACTCACGTGCAACTTTTGTTAATGTTATACACAGCTGACTGAGGCTTCATTGCACCTGAATAAATACGAATGAAAACTAGCGGCCCACGACGTTTATCATGGAGAACTTTAAACGCAAGGGCACACAGGTCATCGTTGTACCACTTTCTGCAGAGTAAAGGCACAACAAAAAGCAAATGGGTAAGATTAAACCACTTCAAACACAGATTTACCCAAATTTCCACTTATTTAAGATGCTCTAGGTTTCTTAGTTTTAGTATTTATAACAGGAGATTTTTAAAAAACGTAACTTATACAAATATATTAATCTAAGATGTTCCAGCTACAGCAGAAGAGTTGCACACTGAGGTGCATGTGACTCAGTCAGTACTAGATAGAATCCCCAGGCCCCAACTGTGTCTCCTCTGATTAAAAACTGAAAAGACATTAAAACTCTAAAATGCAAGTCTGCTCGCAGGAGATAAATGCAGACATTTTCAGAAGCACTGGCCAAAACAGGCTCAGGACTCAAGTACTGTTTTATTCTACACATCTTGACTGCTTTTCAAAACCCCAAGTTAGTAAATACTTGTGAAGATTTTTTTTTCTGTTAAAAATCACTTTTCCGTCGTCTCCCTTTCCGCCTTCCTGCTCGCTCCTCCCCGCGCGACGCGGCGCTGCCGCTCGCCGTTACTCACGGGAAGCCGTCGGGGCGCTCGCTGGGCGCGGGCAGGTAGGCAGCGACGGCGTCGAGCAGGGGCTGCACCCCCTTGTTCCGCAGGGCGCTGCCGCAGAGCACGGGCACCGCCGCCCGAGCCAGCGTCACCCTGCGCACCGCAGCCTGCAGCTGCACACAAAAGGACACTCACATTACGCCTCCCGTGCAGACCCATATTTACTCAGCAACACAGGTCCAACCAATTCATAGGGTGACATGTTATTTTTGCTAGTGAGACTCACTAGCTCGGGCACAATTTGGCCTCACGCCACCTGGAAACTCTATTCACCCTTCCCTTTTAGCAGCCAAACGTTCCATAAAAATTTCCGTAACAAGTGCACCAGCCTTTTACAGTTGTGACCGAGACATTTAAGAGCCACAGTCACTGTATTATCAGATAAAGTTCATATTATACTTGAATATACTTTCTCCTAAGCTTGCAGTACTTCAGAATCACCACAAAAGCTGATGTGACTTTTCTGTTGATTGAAAAAAAATGCATATTTGCAAAATCTTAAAAAAACACAAAAACAAAACAAATAAAAATACACAGTGCTCTTCAGAGTGATAGTTAATAAAATTATTCCTAACTAAAGCTAAAAAAATTACCTTGTCAGCTGGCAGCAGGTCAAAATTTTCACTATATTCTCCTAGAACCAATTCAGCAAATTCATCATCCAGATCTGCAACCTTCAGGAGAATATTTCTATGTTATTATTTAGCATATATCAGTTTCACACATAAGTCATCAATCTTGGTTATACAGGATATGACTCATTGGAGCAGGAAGTAAGTCTTTAAACGTATCAGAGCTAAAAATTCAAACCACATGATGATCAACACACCCCAAACCTCAAATTTCAACCCACCTATTATAATTCCTTTTTGCAGCCTCAGAAAGGTTATTAGACTTTTTACTTTTACATAGAGCAACAATACCCTTATATTTGGGAATTTGTTTCTTTAAAAGCAAAAATATTTTACTAATCTTCTACTCACTTAATTGCAAGCAAAGCATGTTGAATGAGGTACATATATCAATTGCATTTTACTTGCCAACAAATGCCAACTAGGACATACTTTTTCAGTGCTTCCTAGGGTTTAAACACTTTTAGAGTATTTTTGCAAAATGAAGAAGGGAAAAAAAAAGAGCTGAACCTTTAGTGACTCAGACAATCACCCAAAAGAAGGCTTAAAGGGCAGATGGGGGAAAAATTCCTTCATCAAGTTGCTATTGGACAAAAACATCAGAGGGAAAGATCATGCTTGTGCTTCTCCTCTGAAACCGAAAAAAAAACCTGCAGCAAAGAGTGACAGCAACGAAGAGTTTGACTTCAAATGTGTTTCGAATCTATGAACCAAGCAGAATTTGAAGGAAGAAGTGAACAGGCCACCAGACAGAGCTGAAGAAAAACAACGAACCACAGAAGCTCTCAGGGAATTTTGCCTTCTTCATGTGACGAGGCTGCAGGGGGAAGAGCTCATCTGGGGACAGTTCAACATCCACAACGTGCTGCTCTCTAGGCCTGTCCTCTCGCGCTGCCCTTGAGCACCACAGACCCAGCGCACACAGGGGCCCTGCCCTCCCCCTGCCCACGGCGACAGCAACCCAGCAAGGAAGGGAAATACTGATCAGCAACTAGAAGTCTTAGAAACAGGGAAAACATGAAATACAAAGGAGGGCATTCCTTCAGCTGCAAGCACCTGCTATTCAAGCTACTGAACTTTATAGTATTTCTAGCAAGAATATATATAGGGGGTATATGGTTTAAAATACCATTTACGTGGTATAAAAAAACTATATATGGGATATATAGGTTTTAGTTGGATAGGAAATATAGCAGGAAAATATTTTAGAAAGACAAGTCATCTCAGTTGTCAGACTGTTGGGCCACCCCTTCCTGTTTCGGGAACAGACCACAAACTCAAGAAAAATATGCTGTTCTTACGTAGCTTTCTATCTGACCGGAAATTTCTTCAGAGTCATACCCATTTAAAGCCTAGAAATTTTGAAAACCAGAATATGCACATTTTTTTTGAACTCTGAGACTCTAAAAAATAGATTTCATCAACTCTGATGTTTCAAAGCAAACTAGTAAAAGTCCAGCATCATCTGATTAGGCACTTTTGTGTCATTCAAGGCATCATAATCTCGAAACTTCACATATTTTTACTTCTAAAAATACACATTCAATATAAACTCTATTACAGTCTTTTTCTTACAAGTAACATAGAAATCAAAAGGCGGTTTTTTGGTCCTTACTTGGAGAGAAAATTTGCTTCAAATCATCCAAGTAAAACTATCCCTTGCAATATCTTTATATAAATTAGTCAAAGTAGAACAAGACCTTAAAATGCAAGCTGAGAAGGAAAGCACTCTGGATGAGCAATTTATTCCTTATTTCCATTGCTCTTTCACGCATCTCTTCTTGTGAACAGTCTTAACTGTGCAAATATCATTAAGACTTTAGTTCTAGATCAAGTTTCTGTTACACTGTCTTAGCTCCAGAGTATGACAATATGGGAAAGAAACATTTACATTGTTCTATCCTCATGTCTACCACAGATTTTTTGGATGAAGCTAGAATGAGGTATTCATTCAGCTGCCTCTCACACAGCACCCAGCGCCCTTTTAACAGCTGGGGGCTCCCCTTGCCCAACAAGGCAAGGACATGCTGGGTCAGATCTGCCCGGGCCCATGTGAAGTCTCAAGCGTATTCCAGCTTCTGTACAAGCCTGTACAAGTAGTGTCTGTATTTACAATTTGCTATTTATAAGGCAGGGAGCATTTCCTATTTTACACATATTGTGCAGTCAGACAGCCCAATGATGCATAAAACAGTGAGTTTTGCCACTTTTTTTTTTAAGGGCATTAAGTGTCTTTGACAAGTGGAAAGTAAATGAAGAAAATGTGAAATTGGTTCAACAATGACAGATACAGAATTTTGCACCTGGGACAGAAGAACACCTCGCATTGGGTACAGACTTGGAATCAGCTGGCTAGGAAGCAGCTCTGCAGATGAGCAGAGGGTCTGGTGGACAAGTGCCTCTGCCTGCCGTGGTGAAAGGTAACTGCCCTCTGGCACAGCCCGCAGAGGAGGGAAAGGCTCAGTGCCCTCTACTGAGCACATGTGAGTACAGCAAAATACTGACTGTGGTTTTAGGTTCCCTAGTACAAGACAGATTGACAAACTGCAAAGAGATACAAGGGAGACTAGACTGCAGAAAGCCATTGGGGCAGTGAGCATTGCAGCGCTCAGCTGGAGCACAGGAGAGAGGGGTTTGTCCAGCCTGAAAAAGAGAAATGCCTAAGGGAGGACCTAAGAGCTGTCCTCTAATATCTGAAGAGATTGTGGTGGATCTGTTCCAGAAAAAAAAAAAAAAAAAGAGACAGATACAGATTCTTTTCAGAGTAGCACAAGTAAAGGACAGGAGACACTCAGAGACTGCAACACAGGAGATGCCAGTTAGAAATGAAGGGTAGTCAAGTATTTGGATTTGCTGCCTAGAGAGGCTATGGAATCTCCATTCTGGGAGACTTTGAAAATTTGACTGTACAGGGTCCTGAGCAACCTGGTCTCATTCTGACATCAGACCTGCTTTGAGCAGGACATGGGACTAAACACCTCCAGAGGTGTATCCCAACCTGTTTTTTCCTACAATTCTAAATAATATTTTTAAATACATAATATATTTACTTTAGAACTTTACTTGTTCTATTAAGGCATTTCTGGCATCCTGGACTTCATGGAACAAGTTTGGATCATCAGCCTCCAGCAATGGCTTTTGCTCAAAATTTTTTCCATCATCCAAGCCGGATTTCCAAATAATTCGTTCCTTAGTCAGAACATCAACCAGTCCTCTGAAGGTTTTTGCCTCCCCTATGGGCAACTGCAAATAGAACAGAAATTTTAGACAACAACAAAATATTAAGAAAGGAGTTCATAAAGAAGATCATAAAATTTCCAAGCTTACCTGCAAAAGCAAAGGTTTTGTCTTCAACTTTTGTTTGATGCTCTCAACAGCGTTTGTAAAACTGGAGTAAAATAACAGAATTTAAAAATTACCTAAAATGTAATGATAGTCAATTAGGTTTACCATTCCTGTTCACAGTAAAAATTGCTGCCAAAATTACACAAAAATATGTATCTGTGTAATCAAAAAAGATGTGCATTTAAGTATTAAAATAATTGGTTTGCTAACTAACAGAACATACTTAATTTGACAGATTGTCTTATAAGGTCTTTAACAACAACTAAAGTTTTACCTTGCCCCATTTTTGTCCATCTTGTTTAAAAAGCAAATTCGTGGTATCCGATGCTTGTCTGCTTGTCTCCACACTGTCAGAGTTTGGGCCTAAAGCAAAGGAAAAACAATAGTGCTGACAGTTGAACCACAGCTTCCCCAATATGAGATATCACGTTTCTTGCTAAACAAAGCAACTAACACTGATCAGCAGTTCTCCCATCCTTTCCATACAGCAAAGGACATGCCATGGAACACTGCGCTTTCAAAACAGGTAACTTTTCTCCAGAACTGCTAGAGCATCTCACGTTACAAACTCATCCTCCAGCCTGCCACCCGCTTCTTTGCAAGATGTCCCAAGGGATGTATTAACACACTCCAGTGGTGAAGCTGAAATGCTGGCTGAAAGCGATTAATTTTCTACACGAAATTTGATAGTAAGAAGTGAGCAGATTTCAATTCTTCCCGCTGGTGAAGCTAGCCAGGAATATTCATCTCAATCTAAAACTGGGTGGAGGGAGAACTGGGGAAATGACACTGGACACACACCCCCAGCTCCTGGAGAGAATGAGAATGTCACTTGTTTGCTCCTTATTACCATGGAAATTTCTGCACCCCACAGGACTTAGGCTGAGCTCAGAAGCTGAGCACTTTAATTTCACTCAAAACACGGACAGCACAGTGACATCTCTATATCATTTTTATTTCAGGCTTTTTTAAGCTGAAGAACGTAAGAACGTAAGAAATTCTACTAGACATTTTTACCTCAACACCAGCTGAAGCATCAAACACTGCTACGGCTCCATCCAGGACTCTCAAGCAACGCTCAACTTCCACTGTGAAGTCCACATGTCCTGAAAAACAGTTTTCATTTTGCACTGTCATGATTCAAACAGGCAACATCAACAGATCATTACATTTTTTTACCATGCCAAAAAAACTGTCTTCAACTTCAGAAAAATACACTCATCAGGCATTGAAACACACAGGACAGTTACACTGCAATCCCAAAACTAAAAGCAATTTAGTGTGGAAATATTTGAGAAATCAGCTTGCATCAGGCACCAGAAAACAATTTGTCAAAAATGAACAGAGCTCAGTATAGGCTTATTTACCACAGTAATTCAACCAATTAAATATCATACCATATCTTAAAACCAAGACTTATACCTTGTGACACTCCACCTCATCTACACTCTCCTAATAATGCGGGTACTCCTACAATGCAGTACCTGGGGTGTCAATCAGGTTGATTCTATAGTCCTTCCAGTCAAAAGTAACAGCAGCAGACTGAATGGTAATACCGCGCTCCCGCTCCTGTACCATGAAATCTGTCACTGTATCCCCATCATCAACATCTGTGAACAGAAATCAGGGAAACAGATGAGTAAATAAATGAAAAAATGAGTTGTTTTCGAGTAAAGATCATGGGGGAAAATTTGAAATAATTGTCCCTTGTGCATATGAACAAGCTATGAAAACTATCACATTTTCAGAGAAAGACAGTATCACCATTAAAAAAATAGCTGTACTTACTTGTACGGATCGTGACATTTTAGAAATTAATAATTAAAGGTTGATCAAGTTAAATTAAAACTAAAGATCAAGTTAATTAAGAGTTACTTTTTCTCCTTAATAAAAGAGGAACCATCCTCACATTTCCAAACGAGTAAGCCATCAAGTTCAGCCACTGCACAGACCCAATGTCTAACACTTTCATGTACAGTAGAGAACAGGGAGCTCAACATAAAAGGTTAAAAGACAGCACAACTAGAGACTGCTGCGACTCTTGAGTCTGAGAGTGAATTCCTTCAAGGACTGAAGAGACTGCAAGGGATCTAAATTTATCATTTTTCCCTGACAATAATAACACACTACAGCCCAGCTCAGTCTCACTCCTGATAGGGTTTACAAAGATCTACCATAATTGTTTTAGTGAGGAGTTTTACTCTGTGTTACAGAGTAAGCAATGTGTTTCAAAATAAATGGACGCTTGTTAATCAGGTTTCTTTTCAGAATCACAGAATGGATGAGGTTGGCAGGGACCTCTGTAGATCATCTACTCCAACTCCCCTACTCAAGCAAGGACACCTGGAGCACGTGGCACAGGGTCAGATCCAGGCAGGATTTTTTTCCACTTCAAAAGAAAGCAGGAAAAAGCTTTTCCAGAATAGCCAATGACCAACACAAAAAAGCTGAAGAAACGTTAACTGTTAAACAAATAATAGTGCATTAAAATTCAACAACAACAAAACAAAATTGTTTTCTCTAAAGTTACAAGTGCCTTTGAGTCCATTATTTCAATTATAGCACAGTACGACTTTGAAACACCTGGCTTTGATGAAAAATACTCCAACAGTTGCTTCTAACTACACTGCATGTGATTGTGTATTACATTCAAATCTCTCAGAGATACTGATATACCAGAAGTAATTCTAACCTCCAAGTGTTCTTATGTATCCAGAATAATACAGCATTCTCTCCGTCGTTGTAGTTTTCCCTGCATCAATGTGGGCCATGATGCCAATGTTACGGATTCTGCATAAAGCAAAACATTCCCTTTAATGTGGTAACTTGTCATTCAGCGACATTGCTATCTGAAGGACCATTCATAGCCACCAAGAACAGCATCAAGAACATCAAGATGAGCAAAATTTTTTTTCTCTTGCACAACACATTCTGATACTGAAGTATAACAGCATTGAAGTGGTGGATTTTCTCTAAATTGGTAATAGTCAGACTTTTGGAATAAGCTTCCACACTTCAACTCTGTAGTAGTTTGGCCTCACTCTGCACTGAACTCCCCCACACACTCAGTGACTCTCATCTTCTCCCTAAAAGGACAATTCTAGTTCTGATAATGTAATGTAAAATTCCCATTTTTCAAGTCTGAGAACTCCAACTTTAACAATTGCTCTGTACCGAAATGTCAGAAAAGGAGAAGTGAGAAATACTAATTGTAACTTAGAACAAACAACATATTCTGCAGTAACCCAGGATCGATTGCCTTGCTGTCTGTTACATGGGGAAAACAGGTCACCAGGACTTACCTGGATATATCAGGGTTAACCACAGAACGTAGAGACTTAACATCTTCTGGAAAACAGAAAGAACAAAATAAAAATAACATAAAGATTTGCCATACCTACCTCCATGTAGGGATAACAGATTTTAGCAAAATTAAATAAATTTAATAATACTAGAAAGCCTTTCTGAAGATTCAGATGGAGCCAAAATTCAAAACAATCCTAATAATGTAATCATCTTCCAAGATGTGTGCTGCCTCACCAAAAGAAAAGTATATACAGAAAAATAAGCTCTTCAAAGAGATGTAATTTAGAAGCAGTAGGACAAAATCAACAAAAAAAAGGTATTATCACCATAGTCATATCTTACTCTGCAGAAGTGATACCAAGTGACACCATAGTTTATGACAAGTATGACACTTACATTCATTTGAACTAGGTATTAAGTAACGTATTTCAGAAATGATTTCTCCTTTAAACACTAAGGATAGATGGCATATTTCTTGGGATGAAGATATAAACTCACTCAGCTTAAGAAAAGGTGGGTTGTAAGAGCTTTAAATTCATATTTTACTGAAAGACATTTTCTCTCTCACACAATATTTAACTGGAAAATAAATTGCAAAACTAAATAGTTATGAAACTAATCTCTAATTCACCTAGGCCACCAAAATTCTGTTTAAGTTCCTCACTTTTCTAACATGTCTTTCGGTTTTAATTTATCTTTGGTTACGACAGACAAAATTCAACAACACTTAAACTAACATTCCCTCACCATCTTCAAATCATCCTTTTTATCACAGGTAACATACGAAGAGTACACATTAAGGTATCTGATGGCAACAAAAGCTGAACGTGGCAGGCTCAGAATTCACCAAGGAAAAGCTTCAAATAAAAACTCTAACTAACACTGCTATTTTTTTTCTCCAGTTGCTAAAATAAATCAACTGTCAAGAGTATTTTGCAGATTTCCTGCTTAAGCTATCGTATCTTCTTGTGAAGCTCTACATGACACCCTGAGGTATTCGAACAGCAAATCTGGACATTAATGCTTCGTGCAGGGATGTTACATAGACAACTACACAAAAACAGTAACCTATAGCAACATGGATTACGATGCCACTAGGAACAAAACAGAGGAAATCCTCTCAGATACACGACTGCAGATTAAGAGTTTTGTCAACACATGCAGCGATGCATCCATAAACACGGTTTATGGTAGATGTTGGCTACCTACCTATGATCACTCTCTTCTTACAGTTACTTAACGCTTCCTTTTCTTCAATGAGAAATTCCCATCTATCTCCTTGCTCAGCATGCTGGCCACCCTCAATTCCTTGACCACAAACTAACACTTCCGGCAACTGGGCATAAGTTCTCACACACTTGATGTGTATGACCTGATTTCTTATCCATCTATGTGTTCTGACATTTTATTTCCTAAAGCCTTCATACCATGTGCCTACTGTGAAAAAGTCATCTATATGTAAGACATTTCTTCCACCCCTGAACATTTAATCTGCTTTGCTAGTGTTTTGTACACCAAACTTAAAAAAAAAATTAAAATAATGTAACAAAACACAGTATAGGAAGCATTCTTACTAATTTTAGAGTGGTTGCTACCACTACTAACCTATAAATGAAGTAAAATTAGAAAACAATTTTAAAGTTGTACCTGGCAGGGTACTGTAGCTTCTCTGACGGAAGCTCTGCTCTGTCAGACTTAAGATTTTCATCCTTTTCTTCCAGAAATGCATACACTTAACAGGAAAAAAAAATCATGCAGAGAATTTATTATTATTATTGTTATGATTACTTTCTACAAAAAAAAGCAGATATGAAAAAATCTGCAGGAACAGAACTGTTGTTTGCTATTCACAAAAACTCAAATTGCCACTTACTTGGAAATAGGAGCATAAAGACAATAGCACCAAAGTTCAAACCCAGTCCAACCCCAATACATAAAAGTCTATTAGGAATTTATGAAAATACCAATATAAGTGGTCAACAGCTACAGTATTCTAACACATCTAGGTATTTAAACTACATTTGTTTAAAGTGAAAAACACTAAGTGACCAAAATCATAGGCAATGAAAAAAATAGCTTACAAAAATGTTACAAATAGTTTCCAGGTTGACTTGTATGAAGCTGGAGTATAACAGAAAATAAACTATGCATTTTATTCAGACACCCTGTTTAATTTGAAGTCAAGACAAAAAAAATGCTTATTCACAGTAAACTAAGCATAACTTTTATTTCCCGCGAGAGTCTCCAAACCTGGGGGACGTTTACCTCACTGCGCAAACGTGATGAATTCGGAACGCGTGCTGAGAAGCTCCTTGTAACCCTCAGCATTGCGGCTGCCATGAGGTGGCTCCTTCCCAAGCCAAACAGACGCTGGATAAGACGCTTACCACCGCGAGCAGACAGCGCTTCCGTGCAGCAACACGAACGCGCACACGCGTACGTGCACACGCACACACATGCATATGCGCACACGCACGCACACATGCACGGGTGCACGCACACAGCAACACACGCACACAGCAACACACGCACAGCAACACGCACAGCAACACACACACATGTGCACGCACACGCATACACACACGCGCACGCGGCAACACACATGCACAGTAACATGCACACACATACACACACACACAGGCACACATACACGCACACACAGGCACACACACACACACAGGCACACACACGTGCATACACGCACATGTACACACACACGGGGACGCACACACACACATGTGCACACATGCACGCACACACACACCATACACACACACACAGGCACACACACACACAGGCACACACACACACAGGCACATACATGCACACATACACACAGACACACACACACACACAGGCGCTCACACACACATGCACACACATGCACACACACACACAGGCGCTCACACACACATGCACACACACACACACACAGGCACACACACAGGCACACACATGCACACACACACACACAGGCGCTCACACACACATGCACACACACACACACAGGCGCTCACACACACACAGGCGCTCACACACACATGCACACACAGGCACATACATACAAGTATACACAGGTGCGCACACACGGGCACGCTCACACAACACACACAGGCATGCACACGCACGCACACGCAAGGAGGCCAAGAAACTCGCTTCCAGTTACCCCTTTTCAGGTCGTCCTTGCCGGTCACCGTTCTGCCACTCCGGGAATGGTCGAGCCGA